GGTGTTGGGGCTTTCATACTTAGATGTGTATTCATTTTGACAGTACCTTTCAATTGGTATAAATGTTTTTGACCTTGACCTTAGAGTTTTACCCACTTTCAAAAAACTTGAACGTTCGCCATAACTTTTGAACAGTTAGTACTAGAGCTTTCATATTTCACAGGTTTTTTCCTTATGACAGACTTTCCTTTGAATACCAACAATTTGGACTTTGGAGTTTGACTTGCATTTGAGAAAGTTCAACACTCGCCATAAACTGGCGTACGGGGGCATCAGTGTTTCACAAACACATCTTGTTTTCTCTTGTAAATAAACTAAACCATTAGCTTCAAAGAGATGATTTAAAAAAAAAATCCCTTCTCGAGTGTTTTAAGGGGGGGGGGGGTTGAATCCGACCCCCATTCCGACAGCTTTGACATTAGAGAATTGTACATGGATACTTTCGCGAAAGAGGAGGATAATGATTATACATTTTATAAACAGCACTTTAACGTACATATAAGACATTAAATACGAGGATGAAGCGTAGATTTAACATTGTTAATTATTATCCATTGCAATCGTTCGTGAAGAAATCGGGGGGGGGGGGGGTTTACAAAAGAACTTACGACTAAGACCAAAATTTAATTCTCCATATAACTTCCTGATTAACATTATATTGACAATGGTTTTAATCTTTTACAGAGGAATATATTGAGTTATGTTTGCAATAGCAATTTTAAACAGAATAATTACTTTCGCTACTTAAGTTTTTGGTCTTAGTCGTAAATTATTTGGTAAAACGGGCCTCTGATTCAAATCTGGGTTATTTACCCCCCCCCCCCCTTCTAAAAAAAATTTCTTTTCAACATTTAATATTATTACATGTTTATTAAATTCCTTCAGGATTCGACTTTTGTTAGGGGATGACCATTTGATTCTAAAGCTTGAGTGGTACTACACCCGACCCACCCCTTTTTATGAGTTTGACAGCTTTCCTTTCTTTAGTTATTAAAAAAATTATATGTCCTTGATCTAGACTCCTAGATTCACACGAAAATAATCTGACTCGGGGGGGGGGGGCAGCTAGCCCTTCTCATAATCAAAGGTTCGTCCGCTAAATTTTTAGTGAGGCAAGGGATCTGGGTGCCACCATGCTGGTCCAAGGTGGTTCTCGGGGGGGGGGGGGGTCCCGAAAACTGGGTTTTTAGGCAATTAAAGACAATTTTTGGAAGTTTTCACGTTTTGAATTATTTTTTTACATGCTTCCTCAACGATAATGAAGTACCTTGTGAGATGATCGATTTACAGAAAATGAAACGAAAGTTAAAAGTCTTAATTTTGTACAAAGACACACATAATTTAAGTTCACTTTTCAGAAATCTCTAAAATTTTAGTAAGGCTTTTGCCTCACTTGCCTCAATGGTAGTTATGGCCTTGTTCAGGTCTGAGAACACGTTATCGTATATCATTTTTGTTTCGCAAAAGTATTTCTAAAGATATTGCATTGTATTATCTTTTGATTTCTAAACTGGTTGCAAAATGTTTCAAACAAATAAAAATACCAAAATTTGTGTTAATACCAATTGAAGATAATTTTCATGAGATTTTAAAGGGAAATACTATACTCTGAAACGTTGCAAATACTTGGACTTTTTCACTTTTTTAAAATTAGCCAGTTTTTGAACATATTTTACTGAATAAATCAAAAGGATTGGAAACAAGTTCTTACAACTTACTGGTTCCTCTCCTTAAATATAACAATATGTCATGCAAATAATACATTAAAATATAATATTTTCAAGTGATATAAGTGTTAACACGTCAATTTAAAATCTACATGTACATGTTTCATCAATAAATTTATGGACAGCAGCAAAAATATTGTTATTAGTTAATACAGGCAAATCTTTATCACCCCATAATAACAAGTTTATGTCACTTGTAACTAATTCTTCAAGCACAAACAGGTGGTTGAAAAGATTTTTTCTAGCATTTGCATAATTTCTACAAGCAAAAAAATAATGATAAACATCTTCATACTTTCCACATGAACAAGAGGACAGTCCGTTTAAATTCTACAAACATGAAAGAACATGTAATATCCGCGTATTCACAGAAAAAGGAATCAGTTGAACTTGATTCACTGCCAGTGCATGTGCCTGAACAGTGGCGGATCCAGGAATCTTAAAAGGGGAGGGACCCGACCAGTTTTGGGGTCGAGGTAGGGGCCCACCGCCACACGAAAAAATTGATTTATTAAATCTTATGTATATTTTGGACACAAAAGGTGGGGCCCGGGCCCCTTGGCCCCCCTCTAAATCTGTCAGTGCGGAATTACTTATATTTTCATGCCCTCGTAATCGAAGATTCGGGAGTGTATAGTTTTTGTCCTGTCCCTCCGTCTGTCTGTTTGTCCGCAAAAATTTTGACCTAGCTTGCCTATAACTTTTGAGTGGGTGGCGCTATGGCTTTCATATTTCACAAGTGTATCCCTAGTGACAAGACCTTTCTTTGGGTACCACCAAATTTGACCTCTTTGCCCACTTTTACAAAAAAAAAAAAAAAAAAAAAAAAACACGTTGGCCATAACTTTTGAAAAGACTTTTCATTGGGTATAAATACTTTTGACCTTGACCTTTGGAGTTTGACTTGCATTTGAGAAACTTCAACCCTTGCCATAAGCTGCTATACGTACGGGGGCATCAGTGTTACACAAACACATATTGTTCATAATACTAGGACAGAGTATATGTTCCATTTCAATTTTTTGAAAAAAATAAAATCGCTTTTACAATATAAGGTATAGAAATGTAAATAAATAAATAAAATAAATAAACTAAAAAAGTATTTATAAGGTATAAAAGTAAATAAAATCATTTGTACCACCTAGAATATCGTTTATGCTATTTATTTCTACGCGATTTTCTCAGTTTACAAAAGATTTTGTAAATTATACGAACGTTTTTTTTCCCTTTTAAAATTGAAATATGGCTTGCCGAATATTTTTTCACCTGATTTGTGAATTCGGGTAACAAACAAAAAATCTATTAAATCTCGTAGCTGGACATAACATCTATCATCTTTTCGAAGAAAGCGACCAACTCCGACAATTTCCTTTCCAATTTCATGTTTTCAAATTCGATGTATTTTACAACTCTGTACAGAGAGTTATTTACTTTATTGCTATTTTCATTTTATAATATTTAGTTATATTAGTGTACGTATTGCATAAACTTAATTTATTTAGTTCTGACTTAATTTACACCCTTTTAGAAAAACAAAAAAATATTACTTAAAACAAAATGAATTAATTCGTTATTGATCTGTTTATTGTCTGACGTCATGGCGTCAGACAGTATTAGATTTAGCCAAGGCTTGTTGGTCAAGTCGTTCAATAGAATTCTTGTGATAACTTGATCTTGGAAACTTCATACTATCTTAACTATCAATTGGAGATTATGAGAAGTAAAAGAAACATGCTATACACCCAAACAAACTATGCAAAGCATTGGACCTGATGTCATTATTACATCACATTATACATTAAAGGTTACATATTACATAACATTTAGCCATTCTCGAATGCATCATTCATCTCCAGCAAAACAGCAGGAGTGAAACTGGCCAGGTCAACACTAGTCGAATATCTTTATCAGATTAACTAATGGATGTTTATTTTCAATGCATACTTAGCCTCTCTATCTGTATAATTTTAACAAATTCTAAACATATTCATGACTTGCAAACATTTGATTTATTTGTAGCTTTAAAAAAATCAAAGTGAAAAATAGATGTTGCACGTTAAAAGATGTTAGCTCATTTTTAACACATTTATTTTTTTAATTAAATATTTTATAATTTTCAAAACTGTTCAACTATTGATGTCTACGTATACATTTTTTATGGGTTGTAACTTTTTTTCAAAAGCACCGGTTATAATGTATCCATGAACAGCCGGGCCCGTTGGAATAAATTTTACAGTGGCGGTGGGGGGGGGGGGGTGCACAGCCAAACATTTTCAGATTAGGGTGGGCACTATCGAGGAAAAATTCCTTACCGAGCATATAAAAGATATATCAAACGTTATATTACTAACATGGTTTAGGGTACACAATTTAAGCATAAAGTAGCTATCTATATAAATCATCAAAATTATTGGGGGTACTGTCCCCGAATCCTTCCCCTCCCCCAATTCCTACGGCCATGGAAAAAAAAAAGAAATTACAAGTAATATAGTTTATATGGAACAAATTTGTGTCCAAGTTTTATTCTATGTTGATGCCACTTAATTGAACTTTTGTTTCTTAGCAAAATAATTTATTTCTGGACTCGGAATCATGTCGATTACATTGGATTTAACTTTTCTTGATTCTAACTTTGCGTAATAAATTTTTGCTCACGTCAGACGAGCTTTTTAGGAAAGCTAATACTTGTTCCCATTAGCTCGCGTAAACCCCCCCTCTCTTTCTATCTCTCTCCCTCTCATCAGGGACCTATATATTAGTATACTTAGACCTATATACTTAGTATATAGGTCCCTGCTCTCATTTGGTATTCTGATTTGGCTCATAAGAAAAATAGATATTGTTGAGAAACGACTTTCATATATTGTATACATTGGGCTTCTCAAGTTAAAAAAAAAAATGCAAACATGAATCGAAAAACAACCCTGGCCCTAAGAAACAAACACTGCATGGTATATTTAACAAGTTAAAAAAAGATGGGTTTTTAAACTTTAAAGAATAATTTTGTAAACTGAGTAAAAAATAATGTTTCTAATATCCAGGGTGATTAATCAGCTGTTAATCTGCGGACCTCTAACATTGAAAGCTTAGTCCCCATATCCATATGATACGAGCAGAAGCATCAAACCGTTTAAGAATCCAAGGGACAGAACTCATCCGTCAAGAGGTGAAAGGTTGTATTTAGAACGAGTTATTTCTCTTACAGAGTGATATGCGACTCATTCTTTGTATGTGTTGACAATTTTAACTTGTTGGCCAAGCTAAAAGTTACTGAGACGGAGAGTTAGTGTGTCTGTGTTATATTTTATTGTAATAACGCAAGATATAATTTGCCTCCTTCCTAGCTACAAAAACTGTATTGAGAAGAAGTCTATGCAAATTTACAGTAAGTAGATATATTTTAGATCTTTTTATGTAGATTATTACAGACGCTTCTTTTTCGCGCCATTTAGATATCTTGCTGAACACGCTGAAAGACGCATAGTTAAACACAAACAAAAATTTGATGCATGGATTGATAGATTTTTTTTGGACTGATTTTGAATGAAAAATGACATAATTAAAATAATGAATTCCTAAAATATCAAGAAATTGTAAGTTTTCTTTGACAGGTCCAGGAAAATCACTATATTTAGCTATATACATGTAGCTTAATTTACCTATATAGCTTTATTTACCTATATAATATAGCTTTATTTAGCTATTTTAGAATAAGTTTCTGTTCTATGAAAAGCAAACAAAAAGTTGCATGAAAATTATGGCTGATATTTTTTTAAAAAGATTTGATAAAAACAACCTAGGGCATAGATAGTAAAAACATTGCCTCTTTTAAACACTTTTTAACCAAAAAATGCATCTCTATTGTTTGGATAGCTGTCTATTACTGGAAGTGCGATGAGGCATGACTAAGTGTGATTGCCTTGCATTGTGCTGAATTATTACCAATCAATTATCTTGTTGACCAAAACTGCTTTTCTTTGTTAAAGTAGCTGCTTATTCACAGATTAACTGTTATACATAGCCCCAAAACTTTTAGATCTTTGATTGCAATTGCACAAAAGGAGAAACATTTTTAAAAGTGGGTTTTTGGTGAATTGTTTTCAGTCCATTTCAAAGTTGAAAATTAATACTGCCTCATTATGCGACTTTTTGTCTGCTTTTCATAAAACAGACATTTACTCTGAAATAGCTAAATAAAGCTATATTATATAGGTAAATAAAGCTATATAGGTAGATTTAGCTATATAGCTAAATATAGTGATTTTCCTAGACCTGTTTGATGCTTAAATATGCTACTTTGCATGTTATCTAACTATGTCTCGGGACAAGCCCTCACCACAAAAACCGGGTCCGTAGGACAATATCATTTTAACGATAGAACTTTCTATCTACATCTAGTTTGCTATGTAATTGGGACTTATTTTTAACATTGTGACAAAATCGTACAAAATTCTCCCACTTTATCTGACAAACATTATTTAGACTACCTATCTCTAACTATAAATCTATGAGAAAAATTGTTGATTTCTGAAAAAAAGTATGTTTGTGTCATTTATCTTTAGTTATTTTACACATTGTAATACAACTATTACAGTCATTTAGGGTGTTCCGAATCATCCCGCATTTTGCGACTGTGGGTAATTTACGGTACCTTATCACATTCGGCAAACCTCAGCTGATTCTATCACCTTCATCAGATTAGATTAGGTGTGCTGAGCGACCCTATTGCTGTGCCTATCAGACACATGCACACGTGTGACAAACTGCACAGTTTATACTGTATTACACGTTACATACAAAAAATAAAGAGGTAAACTTAATGCATTAATTAAAAAATTGATAATTATGCCACCCTTCAAAGAAGGTAGGGCATATTGCTTTGCTACTGTCTGTCGGTCGGTCAGTCTGTCGGTCCACCAACAGTTTCCGTTCATTTTCTTCGTGAGGTTGCACATACTGAAATGAAATTTGGTATACAGATTTATCATTAGAATATCTAGGTGAAGTTTTATTTTGGGTATGATCGAGCAATTTTTGACAGAGTTATGCCCCTTGGACTTAGAAAAATTCCAATTATTTGCAGTTTCTGTTCATTTTCTTCACATGTACATGTATGTCCAAATCTTGAAACAAATTTTATATTGCTTCAATATTCCAAAAATAATTAAAAAGATGTGTACACGAAGTTTATTTGTCTATAGTTATCCCCTTTTCTGGTCGCCCGCGTGGCGCAGTGGTTAGAGCGTCTGCTCTAGAGTCGCAAAGTAAGGAGTTGCTCCTTACGTCGCGGGTTCGAATCCCACTCTGGGACGTGGAAACTGGTCCTTCAGATGAGAACGTGTAAACCGAGGCCCCATGTCGCAGTAGGTGCTGGCACGAAAAAGATCCCTCACTGCTCAATGGCTGTAAGTGCCTAGTATAGGACAAAATTTGCAGCTCTCCACCGGCAAGTGGTGGCATCTACATATGAGTGAAAAATTCTCGAGAGGGACGTTAAACATACAATCAATCAATCCCCTTTTCTGAGCAGGTTTTATTCAAATTTACCTTTAACTCAGTAACAAGCCTTGCAAATGATGTAAACAATAAAAACAATGCAATGCTGAAAAGATGTCCACTCGACATCGTTTAACGTTGCAACAGAGATAAACAAAGATATTATCCAAAATTGCTATATTGACAATGTAATCAGATTAAAGAGTGCAATATTGACTTGATGTCGACATGATGTCATACAAAATTGGGATGTTGAAATAGTTAACAATGCTAGTTGAATGAGGAGCAATGTGTAAATGTGTAAGGTATATATACAGCGATGTCGATAATATCAATAAAACATTGTGCACTGGACATACCTCAATATTCTGGTGTTTCACATTTGAACCCATGTCATATAATCATAATATCAATGTTGATGTTATAAGGTTACCTGTCAATTTAAGTTACTTAGGTGACCTATTGCTATCTCTTTTCGTCTGTCATTCATCGGTCGTAAATTTGTGAACATTTTCAGCTTCTTTTCTGGGAACCAGTGAACCAATTTCAACCTGTTTTGGCATGTAGCATATATGGGTGAACAGAAGGGGAACAAAAATTGTGAAATTCGTGGCCCCTGTCCCCGTGGGGCCTGAGGGGTGGGGCCAAAACCATTAAAATTTATGCAGTCTTTAAAAGTCTTCTTCTTTACTCCTGTACATCAAGCAGACAAACTGATGGCATGATTGTAATAAGCATTGAGCCCTCTACCTAAATTAGCATTGAGCCCTCTACCTAAATTTTGAAATACATGGCACCATGGTCAGGGGTTCTTGTGCTAGCGCGGGGCTCTGTTGACTATATAGTGCGAATGCATTATTCCTTAAAAAATCTCCTCCTCTGCTCCTTGGTATTCAGCAAACAATCTTAATGCATAGTTACAGGGATCGACACTAACATTTTTATGCTTTAGTCTGGCAGGACTAGTGCTTCTTTACTTTTACTAGTCTGCACACAATTTAATGAGTCCATCCAAAAACCAAAAAAAAAAAAAAACAACAAGAAATTTCAATGTTTTGAAACGATAAATTTAAAGATAAGTAAATAAATTACATTGTTCTTTTTATACTTTTTTGAAATAAACAAAGCATTTAGGGGAAGTGTTCTATCCGCAGATTTGTTGAAAGCTTGCGATCAGGAAGAATGATCGTATTCCCTATCTTGTTCTTTTTTCTCTTGGCCTATACATTACATCCAAAACGTCCGATATTTTTCTTTATGTGTCCTACTAATTCATGTTCACTAAAATGTTTGATTTCATATCAATCAGTCCTAAAATTAAGTTCTGAATTGACTCGGAATTATCTAACTACCCGCCAAGAAGCTAGAAAGCTAAAAATACATGTAGGGTTTTCCAGTAAAGTTGTCGAGAATCGAACATTGGTAATTTGTTCATTTTGTTTTCCAGAAATTTTTATTGGTCTGATTGGACTATTTAGCCACAGATTTTATTAGTCCGAATGAAAATGTATTAGTCTGAGACTAACAGACTAACGTTAATGTCGAACCCTGAATTATGACGAGCAAGTGTGTCTCTTCCAAAATTGTGAATTTCATGGCTCCTGGGTTAGGGGTTCTGGTGTTAGGGCGGGGCTCTATTGATTATAATTATTGTTATTATTATTGATTATTATTATGATAATGCATTATTCCTTATTAAAAAATCTTCTCCTCTGCTACTGGGTATTAAACAAACTAACTGAGTACATAGTTATGATGAGCAAGGATGCCTTTTCCAAAATAGTGAATTTCTTGTCCCCTGGGTCAGGGGTTCAGGTGTAAGGGCAGGGCTTTATTGATTATAAATGAAAATGCATTAATTCTTTCAAAATCTTCTTCTCTGCTACTGGAGATTATTTAAACAGACTAAGTACATGATTATGATAGGCAAGGATGCCTCTTCCAAAATTATGAATTATATGACCCCAGGGTTGGGGATTCTGGTGGAGGGTGGGGGGGGGGTGCTTTCTATTGATTATATAGTAAAAAAAAAAGCACAATATCTTTGAAAATATTCTTTTCTGCTGGTGGTTATAAAGCAAAGAAACGAAGTGTATAGTTATGATGAGCAAGAGTGCTTCTTCCAGAATTGTGAGTTTCATGGCCCCTGGGTCAGATGTTCGTGTAAGGATGGGGCTCTAATAATAAATACTGAAAATGCATTAAATATTTTAATTCTATTAATTAATCATTATTTAATCCTGTCTGCTCCTGTGTTGAGCTGATAAACAAATTGCATAGTTATGATGAAAGAGGGAGCTTCTAACAGAATTTTTAAAACTTGTTGTCCCAGGGTCAGGGATTCTGGCATAACAGGGGAAGGGAGGGGGCTTTTGATAATATAATGGAAATGTGTTAACTTTTTGAAGTGCATAGTTATGATGATGGTAAGTCTTCCAAATTTGTAAATTCCTTGACCCTGGGTCTTGGGTTCTAGTGTTAGGGTAGGACTTTGATGAATCTGTAGTGAAAATGCATTGTACCTGTGAAATTCTCCTCTGCTTCTGGGCAAATCGGAGGCAAATTGATTAAAAGTTTAAATAAGCAAGGGTATTTTTCAATATATCGAATATTCAATACATATCAATATTCAGGAATGTATCGTATCGAACAAAAAATTTCCAATTCGTATCAGACAGGCAGTTTTCCTTATAATTCTGTAAAAAAGTTGGGAATTTCAGTTAGCAAAGATTATTTTTAACTGTTTTGAATTAAAACTGTTCAATAATGAAATAAACATTAAGGAGATAGCACATCTTAAATAACTATTACAAAATACATAGACACTATATTTTAACATGTTATGATAGACTCACCCAGTTTTTATCAAATTTATGAATTAAATGTCAT